TTTGTCTTCCAAAAACCTGGAAGGTAAAAAAGCTGTCAAATACACTGAGGAAAAAAATCTATTCAGTATTTTTTTTTTAAAGATTTTATTTATTTACTTGAGAGAGAGAGAGCGCGCGCGCATGAGCAGGGGAGAGAGAGAAGCAGACTCCCCACTAAGCAGGAAGCTGGACGTGGGGCTCAATCCCAGGACCCCAGGATCATGACCTGAGCTGAAGCTGAGCCACCCATGTGCCTCCAATTCAGTAAAATCTTAAGACTTTTTTTTGGCCACATATACTACTAATTATTTATGGTTAGTTAACTAAATTTCCAGATATTTATTAGATGCCTTTTGGCACAGAGAGGAATTAATGTGGAAGAAAAATTGTCAAGATTCAAATAATAAAAGACTGATTCTAAATCTTAATTGCCAACTAAAATGGAATGATTAAGCCATGTTACACCCAACAGAACACTATGAAGCCATTAGGGAAAACACCAAGATATAATGTTAAGTGACAAATACAGAAACCAAAATTGTTAGTACACAATGATTAGAATTATACTTTTCAAATACACAGATAAAAATCATAAGGATTATGAATTTTTTCTTAACCTGCTTTCCAATTTTATTATAATATAGTTAAACTAATTTTACAATTTAAAATAAATATATCTTTTAATAAATGAAGGACCAACAAATGAATGGATAGAATAGGTAAGAATGAGGAGTAAGGGGAGCTATTAATTTTTTTGAAGATCTAGAAATCACTATTAACTGTTAGCATAAGGAGCTACCTCAATTGAGGGCAAAGCAAAGGCTGTCATTCCCATCAGCAGTATCTAGTATTAATATGCTATTTTTTCTCTCAGTAAGCACCTGTGATTTGTCAATATCTACCATTTCAAAACATTTTTATATTCTTCAAACACATATTTCCACTTCAGGGAATTTACTCAACACTTGTAAACATATTCAAAACTATATGTACAAGAATGTTCACTGCAGTATTCTTTGTAATAGGAGCAAATTAGGAAGAATCATGGGTCAACAAGATTGATTAAATAAATTATGATACAGCTATACACTAAAATACAGAATGGACCTTAAAAAGGATGCCATGAATACATGTATGTACTCCACTGGAAAATATATGCAACATATTATTAAGAAAATAAAATTCTAAAAATTGCATGTATAGAATTAACCTACTTTTCTAAAATTACAGTATTAGATCTGCAGAGAAGAAAATCTGGAGCAGTATACATTAAAGTTAACAGTAGTTACTTCTGAGAAGGAGATTACAGAGGACTTGGAATTAATATACCATAAATTTTTGAATTGCTTGAATATTCTAAGACCAAAATGTGTTAGCATAACAATAACAAAGAAACAATAAACTATCTTAAAAGAAACTGTCTTTCCTGGTTTGTGTTCACTTTCTAATTCCTTAGCTTTTTCTGGAGTTCCTGGGGCTGAACCTCTCTTCTTAATGATTTAAAGAAATCAAAGAGCCATGTTTAGATGGGAATAAAAGCAGAAAAAACTGGGGGAAAAAACTGAGTGGGGGCTTCTGTCTGTCCCTATAGATTTACCCACATTGTCTCCTTGATGCCCTGTCCGAGGGCAAATGCTAGTCTGGACGGACCACAGATCAGAGCTTAGGCAGCAATTCTGACAAACCCAAATAACAGGTGGACATAGCAATCCATTTTATCAAGGATCCCTTTTCCTTGTACTTTAAACCAAATGAACACTGGGGGTTACAAAAATTTTATTCTTAGAAGATGAAAAAACCCTTTATTCACCAATCTCAATTTCATTCTCAGAGTACTCAGTGCTGGTGAATATAGTACCTCAGGACTGACAGAAATGAAAGCCAGATGTGATAATTAATCCCTAAACTGACATAATAATTCAGGTTGAATGTTATAAGCACAAAAGATGAATAACTAAACATAGGGACATTCTCAAGCAGATGATGTTTTCGGTTTTCACCAGAACCTACTTCACAATCTCAAAAAAAAAACAAAACAAAATCAATTCTAACAATAATAATCATAACAATTGGGAAGGGATTGTATAGCATGTACTGCATGCAAGGTAAAAATGTATTTGTTTTACATTTATTAATTCATTCGATCCTGGCAGAAACCCTATAAGTTATAGTCTCTACATTTTCCGCATTTTGCAGAAGAGGAAATTGAAGCTTGCTAATGTTAAGTAACTTCCCCAAGGTCACAGTAAGTGGTAGAGCTTACTGTATAAAAACCTAAACATTCTGGTTCCGAAGTTCATACTCTTAGCTGGCATTCAGAAGGAATCCTTGAGGAATGAGCAGAAAAATGTCTTGTCTACCAAATAGCAGGCCCTAGAGCAAGACTATAAATATAAATCAGTAACCCCAAATTTAGCTTGAGGAAGCAGAATGCTGTAGTTTGTCAAATGGTCACTTATAAAATCTTTCACACACACAATATTTAAAAACCATGAACTGTAATCTAGGATATAGCCAAATGCCTAACACTTCTAGCTCACAGTGATGGCTGTCTATTTACTGGTCAGGAGAGTAGTAATGCAGAGTAAACGGATGAGTATGCACAATATCTAGCTATATCCTGTTAACAGGCATGGTAAAAAAAGAATTAAAAAGTGGAAATTTCAGGTTTTATAGCTATTTCTCAATATATATTCACTTACATAAAGATGTCATAGTTAAAAACATTTAAAAGTCATCTGGAGAAAAGATTCATATAAAATTTATTTTTAGAAACTGATATTCAGCCTATTGCCATCAGAGTTGATTGCTCTTATATGTAAACTTCATTCAAGTTTCTGCAGGTTTGAAAATACAAAGACTGACATTTAAAGCCTGTGTAATATGTCATTAAAAAGCAATTAAAATGGGAACATTTCTACTTGTCAGGAATATACAGTTTGTTAGGGTAATGACTATAGTAACTGTTTACAAGTTCCTTTTATGAGTATTAAATATATCATGTACTCTTAAATATATTACAGGGAAATGATAAAGCTGAACCAGGGCTGAAGAATTTACTTGGGTCACAGTAAGTCCAGGCAACTAAAACTTTAAAGAAAAATCATGCAGTTCTTCTTTTTTGTTTTTGTTTTTTTAAATAGCTTTATTAAGGTATAACTGATATGCAATAAACTATACATATTTAAATTGTACAAGTTGATCGGTGTTGGCATATGTATATACCCAGGAACCATCACCACAATCAAGATAACAAACTCCATCACCTGCAAAAGTCTCTTTGTGTCCCCCTGTAACCTCTTGTACTCGCTCACTTACTCCTGCACCTGCTGAACTAGGCAAACACTAATCTACTGTCATTAGAGATTATTTGGGTTTTTCTAGAGTTTTATGATGGAATTACACAGTTTGTAATCTTTTAAGTCTGGATTCTTTAACTCAGCTTAATTATTTTGACCTTTATCCATGTTTTTGCATGTATTAGCAGTTCCTTTTTATTGCTGAGTAGTATTCCATTATATGGATATACCACAATTTGTTTATCAGTGCATCTGCTAATAACATGTGGGTTGTTTCAAGTTTGGGGCTATAAAAAATAAAGCTGCTGTGAACAATAGTAGTGGATGCATGCTTTTATTTCTCTTGGGTAAATACCAAGTAAAATGGATGGTCATACAGTAGGTGTATGTTTTACTTAGACCTCTGCAAAGTTGTACAATTTTACATTCCTATCAGTAGTGCATGAGAGTTCCAGTTCCTTCACATCTTTGACAGGGTAAGCTTTTAAAATTCCGGCCAATAGCCAAATTACTTATAGCTGTGTAGTGGTATATTACTGTGATTTTTATGTTCATTTCCCTAATTGTTAATGATACTGAGCATCTTTTCACGTGCTTATTTGCCATCTATACATCTACTCTTGTGAAGCATCTGTCCTAATCTTTTGCCTGTTGTTTTAATTCAGTGGTTTGTTTCCTTGTTATTGAGTTTTTTTAGTTCTTTTTATATTCTGGAGGAATCCTTTATCAGATAATTGAATTCCAACTGCTTTCTCTCAACCCGTGGCTTGTCTTTTCATTCTTTTAACAGAGCTTTTTGAATAACAGAAGTTTTTAATTTTGATGAAGCTCAATTTCTCATTTGATTCTTTTATGGATTGTGCTTCTGGTGTTGTAGCTAATGAGTCTATGACTAACCCAAGGTTGTAAAGATTTTCCCCTGGAAGTTTTACAGTTTTTGGCTTTACATTTATGTCTGTGATCCATAAGAGAATATCTACCCGGAATACTCTACCTAATGCCACATGAATTATTAACTTTATCCCTCGGGTTGATAGGACAGGCAATATTCCCAGGTATTATTTTACTTATATTAATTCTGAAATGAAACAATCACTTTCTTTGAAAAGCTTCTATCCCTTGCTCCTGACCAATTAGGTTTTCCTTGTTAGTCAGAATTAACTCCAAAATAATAGTACTTATTACTACCTCTTTACCATCATTTAGGCCAAACATCATTATATATTCCAAATTTACAGGAGGAAATCTTCTAGCATATACCCAATGTTATATATTCAGGAGTCCCTATTACTATCTTATTTCCATGGCAACCTTTACTTGGTTTTTAGGGTAGCATCATCTACTTCCTATTCTGTAGACTCCTACAATATACATTACTTCCATATTTATTTCCTATTATCTTTACCCAAATGCTTTTAACTATGATTCTGGTTTCTTTATTCTTAAATTCTTAAATCATTTGTAAGTGCGAGTTGACATTGATTTAGACCATCTGCTTCTATAATGCCTACAGTTTATATTTGTGATAGACATAAGAGCTTCTCTTAGGTGCTATACTTCACCCTAAGGTTTCTGAGTCTTCAGAAGCATATTGATAAGTATTCGTGCTATCTTCTTTCAAGGCAATACTAGGCTGGTTAAGGGAGAAAGAAAGCTGTGGTTAAAGGCTCAGAGGCAGCTATGATACCATACTCTTGGAGAACTGAGGAAAATAAATCCCAAAATAAAAAAACAGTGGCAACATTCGAGACTGACCTGTAATGAAGAGAATACTCATTGCTCATCACTTGATAAAAGAAATAACAACAGCAGTGGCAAGGATTAAGAGGAAAGATTTGCTGCTGTAGCCTACAAGAAGTTGAAATAGGGGTGCCTGGGTGGCTCAGTTGGTTAAGCATCTGCCTTTGGCTCAGGTCATGATCCCCGGGGTCCTGGGATGGAGCCCTACATCAAGCTCCCTGCTCAGCGGGAAGTCTGCTTCTCCCTCTCCCTCTGCTCCTCTCCCCCCACCCTTGTGTTCACTCTCTCATGCTCTCTCTCAAATAAATAAATAAAATCTTAAAAAAAAAAGCTGAAATAGCCCCATTAGACAAAAGAATAGGTGTGTAGTACACTACATTTCTATTAATCTCTAAGGAACACTAATGTCCAACAAAAAGCTAGTAAAGAGACTAGACAAAAGGGAAGTTAAAAATAGGTTAAAAGTTCCAACTCCGAATGCTGATTGAGGCATATACAGATGTAGAAAAGAGTTAACACAGCAGGTCCGAGACTGCTATCCTTAGAAAACCCTGTTTGCAAGGCTGGCCCTTGGTTGCCAGTACGGAAACTGGATTTTGGGAGGATTCTCAACATTCCCTAATGAATAATGGTATTTTACCAGACCCAAAAGGTTTGTAGACACAATATAGTTTATGCTGAACATCTGTTTTCCTTCTGTAAGTCTGGAAATCAGTACATGCTAGGCAAAGGGTACCTATATGACCAGACCTCAATAAAAACCTCAGCACTGAGTCTCTAATGGGCTTCCTTGGTAGAGAGCACCCCATACATGTTAGATGCTGGAGAAATTAAGTGCATCCTGTGTGACTCCACTTGGGCAATATTCTTACAAGATTGTATCTGATTTCCTCCAAACTTCATCCCATGTACCTTTTCCCTTTGTTGATTTTGCTTTATATCCTTTCACTGTAAAAAATCAGCTATGAATGACTTTATGTTGAGTCTCATGGGTCCTGCCAGTGAATCACCAAACCATTCCCTAGTGGGGTGGTCATGGAAACCCTGATACCCGATTTCTGGGTTTAATAGATTAATATGGCCCCTTGCTTAAAAAGATGTGAAGTGCAGGTGGTACTCAGTTCCAGCTGGGTGTTCTCCTCTATGAGACTGTGCTCTCAGTACTCGGGCAAATACTCTGAAAGAAGAGCACCAGCAAGCAAGATTCATTTACGTAGCAGAATGAGGGTAGAGAAAAAAACAGCAGGCACTCAACCTGTCAAGCATGTAGGCTTTTATCAAGCACTTATTTCATGCCCAAAGCAGAGCAAAATGCTTAAGCCTAAACATCTTTTTGAGAACAACACTGCACAAAGGTGTAAGCCAAAGAAAGCAATAGATTTATTAATCAACAGAGCATTAACCTGAAAAAGTTAGTGCCTTGATTCAATCTGGAAGAAGAACTGAAGTTATCAACATGGTTAGCTACTGATACACAGTGAAAGACAGAGGAACACTGCACTGAGGCCTCAGTGCTAATCAGTGTTGTATTTGGGGAGACACACAAGTTACCTTTTATGTTTATACTTCCTTCTAGCCTATTCTCTTAACATGTTGCCTCCATAAGTACTATATTTATATCTGACTGATTAAAAAGCATGATTCTCACTCTTAAAAATATTAATAAGTGGGGCACCTGGGTGGCTCAGTTGGTTAAGCGACTGCCTTCGGCTCAGGTCATGATCCTGGAGTCCCGGGATCGAGTCCCACATCGGGCTCCCTGCTCAGCGGGGAGTCTGCTTCTCCCTCTGCCTCTGGCCCTTCCCTCAGCTCATGCTCTTTCTCAAATAAATGAATAAATAAAATCTTTAAAAAAATATTAATAAGTAAGCAGGAAGATATAACACTCTGTTTATCAGGGCTTTCTTTTAATCAATATTCTATTTGAAATGAAGTAAATTGTCTTAGCAAGGCAGAAATCACTCATATGGCCTGGGAGATTAAGATCATATAACAACACAAGTCAAACGTTGAACTCCAATTCCTAAATTTACCTGACTCCTTCACTCTCATGGATTTCCTCCAGATTCAGCATCACAAGATTTACAGCTGGAAGGAATCTTAGGTAACATCAAGACTATTCCAGTGTTTGACAAAAGAGACTAAATGTTCTCCTCTTCTGGCATTTAAAATAGAATATCTTGCATTGTTTTCTTTCTATCCATCTACCCAACTATCTACCCTTCCTCCCCTTCTTTCCTACTTCTCCTGTCCTTATATCCATTCTGTCTCTTTAATCAGAGTAAGTAATTAAAAGGGAAGTCCTGCATCTAATTCAGGTTTTTGGTAGCTAATGTTGTAACCTGTAAAAATCAGTCTAGCAATGATTATATTTAATTGTGACATTCGAATTTTCATTGAATTTGATTAACTATTATTCAACAATAAAATCTGCTACCAGTGGAAAGGTAAAAACATATGCAATATACCACAGATTCTTTCTGAAAAGGACAGAGCTCCCACAAGCTAACAAGCCCAGCTGTGACTAGTTTCTCTCTTTAAGCAATAAACTTACTGATTATGGGAACTTATAAACTTCTCATACCTAGGCATTAGCCACCACTCCAGGTAGTCAGTAGCCATGTGTGGCTATTAAAATTAATTAAAATTAAATTAAAAATTCAGTCTCATTAGCCACATTTCAAGTGCTCAAATGTTACCATATTGGACAACGCACACATAGAACAGTTCCATATAATCACAGATAGTTCTACTGGACAGCACTGCTCTAGGAGGTGTTCTGCTAACAGGGTACTTAGATTCACAAGTGATTTCTCTATATTTTTCCTTTTTTTGCTTATATTCCCATGTACTTCATTCAGAGGCTTTCTACATGACAAATAGTAAGCATATATCTAAGACACATATAAAAAATAAACAATAGAGTTTTTAAAGTAGCCATGTGGTAGGACTTTAAAATTATTATTTCTCTAAAAGATGTAGGTTTGGCCATTAATCCTAACTGAAGGGGAATAAAAACTTTATTTTTTTAAAGTATTTTTTTTATTTGGAAAAGTTATTTAGGAACAATATCAACTGGGTAAAGACAGTCAAAAGGTACAGCTTCCAGTTATAAGAAAATTAAGTTCTGAAGATATAATGTACAACATGATGACTGTAGTTACCAATACTGTATTATACATTTGAAAGTTGCTAAGAGAGTAGATCCTAAAGGTTCTCATCCCAACGAGAAAAAATTTGTAACTATGTGAGGTGATGCACAATAACTTAATGTGGTAATCATTTTGTAATATATACATAGATCAAATCATTATGTTGTACATCTTAAACTTACATAATGTTATATGTCAATTATATCTCAATTATGCTAGAAAAAGAATATGAGTAAGTGAAAAAAATGAGAAGAAAAAAAGGATATCAAACAATAAAAAAGTTCTAACAACAAACTCATACACCCTTTACCCATACAACATTAAACTCATACACCCCTTACCCAGACTTACATATTATTACATTACACCCCATTTTCTTCATCATTTGCATATTTAGACATTCACACACACACATACGTAATATTTTTGAGGTGCTTGAGAGTAACTTACATACATCATGACCCTTTATCCCCACACACTTCAGTGGCCATTTCTTATGAATAGGAATATTCTCTTATATAACCACAGCACAGTTATAAATTCCATAAATTTTATATAATCTACCATCAACATTCTGATTTCATCAGATGACCTAATAATGTTCTCTATGTTCTATTCCTACCAACATAGGATATAGTCTAGAGTCAGATACTGCATTTAATTGTCATCTCTCTCTCTCTCTTTTTTTTAAAGATTTTATTTATTTATTTATTTTTAAAGATTTTATTTATTTATTTGATAGAGAGATAGAAGAGCACAAGCAGAGGGAATGGCAGAGGGAGAAGGAGAAGCAGGCTCTGCACTGAGCAGGGAGCCTGATGCGGGACTCGATCCCAGGACCCTGGGATCATGACCTGAGCCGAAGGCAGACGCTTAACCATCTGATCCACCCAGGCGCCCTAAAGATTTTATTTTTTGACAGAGAGAGACAGCGAGAGAGGGAACACAAGCAGGGGGAGTGGGAGGGGGAGAAGCAGGCTTCCTGCCAAGCAGGGAGCCTGATGTGGGGCTTGATCCCAAGACCTTGAGATCATGACCTGAGCCAAAGGCAGACACTTAATGACTGAGCCACCCAGGCACCCCTAATTGTCACATCTCTTAGTTCTCTTTTAATCTGGAATATTTCCACAGCTTTTGTCTTTTATGATATTTTTATTTTTGAAGTGTATAGTCCCCTCCCTCATTAGTAGAAGGTTCATCATTTTGTGTTTGCTGTTTCCTTGAGATTTGGATTCAGGCTCAATGGGAACACTGAATAGATGATGTGTTCTCATGATTTAATATCTGGAGACTTTTCGAGTCCACCAGTCTTTCTTGGGAGATGTTAATTTTGATCACCTGGACAATTTTTCTACACTGTATAATTACTGTTTTTTTCTCCCTTACAATTAATAAGCAGTGTAAGGGGAGACACTTAAAGACCATGCAAATATCCTGATCTTCCTTCTCATTTTCCCCTTGACCAAGCAGCCATTGATGACTCTTGCTTGATTCAATTTTTTCATGATGGCTTCAAAATAATAAATTTTCAACTTTAGCACTTCTTCCACATATACCAGTTAGCCTTCAGCACTATACTGTAAATGAAACCCCTCCTTCCTCCTCCATCCATGTATGTATGTATGTATGTATTACTGGTATAGACTCATGAAGGTATATTTTCCCCAATAGTGTACAATTCATTTCTATTCTAAGCCATTTATTTAAGTAAGTTCTTACTATGTAATATAGTTCCTATATTAGGTGATATCATTTAAAAATGAAGTGATGACTGGGTTATTAACATAATCCCAAACTGGCTGGAAATATAAGTCCTGGTCCCAGATGACCAGAGAGTGGGGACAGGCAGAGAAGGGGAAGGGGAATGTAGAAGGCTGGATGGAAGTGTTCTCACACG